ATCCAAATATATGTATTTTATGAACTTTAAAAATAAGTATTAGTCCTTCCTCACATACAGGAATAACAAGTAAAGTATGAAATACACTACACACACACACAGAGATCATGAGAACAAAGGTTCAAGGTTATTGAGTTCTAAACAGATCTGCTTTGTACACTGATATAAATTGAAATTTGGTGTTGCCAAAATATTTTTCTAAGTTTCTCTTCCAAATACTATGGTGCTACTCTTCATGAACTACCTCTCTTTTCTCTCTTTACCACATGCCTCTAGCCACTCTCTCAAAAAAGACTGGCGCTCTGAGTTTTGTGAACTGGCCACCGATCCGTGGAGGCTGGCACTCCTTAGCCTGCTCTCCTTCCAGCATTGCTTGGTTTTCTGGCTCTATCCTAGCTACTCACTCCCTTCACTATTCTGGGGTATTAGGCTCCCAACTTGGGGTGAGGGTATAGGGCTCCTCTAGTCCACCATGTAATGACATATCTTAAAACCATAATTTAAGAGATTTAAAACATTTGTAAAAAGACATTTCATTAAAAATGCAGGTATTTATAAACATAGATATCCATTAATCGATAGATATTTTCTTGCCACAATTTTAGAAACAAAATCAGGACCTTCATTGTTCCTTACAGATGAAGACATGTAAAAGATTGGAAGGATAGGAATAGTGCCATCACTCCCACTGTCCATGTTATTAACATCGACAATTGCTAATGCCATTGTGAATCTTACCAGAGGCTGCCATTAACAGAAGGAGGTGTGTAAAGGTAGATTCTGTCACTTGTCATTTGCTGACTCAGAGATAGTATAAGAGCAGTAAAGTACACTGAGAAAAAGATAAATGAAATTACTAATAATGTATTTTTAACAGCCCAGTTTATTCTGAATTTATATATTAAAGTCAAAAAAATCTGTACTTTGGAGAGTGATGATATAAAAGAAATTCATTTGATCAATTTCAATAGGCTGGATAGCCTTTATTATCATTTTTCAAGAATACAGGTACAGAAGGATCTTTTGAAATGTTTACTATTTCATCATTAAAACTGACAAGAATCTTGAAGATCTTTTAAGAAATTAATTGACTTGAGGTCTTAACACTTTCATAACTGATATAAAATAGTATGTTATGGGAATGCTATACCAGCTCTATCTGTTTAATGTCAAGTAGAAAATACGAAAGCTAAATATTAAGTAATCTAGACCAAATTAAACTTTTAAAAAGTATTTAGATCAATCACTGCTGAAAAATAATTCTATCAAAATTATCCCTCCATGTTTTTTATTACAAATTCCACTAAACATCCATTAGTAATGTTTATAAGTAGCAATAATATAAACTTTTTAAAAAATAACTTTCCTCATTCAAAATTACAGTGTAACTCAAGTATAACAGTTATCAAATTACACTACTCACAGAAAGATGCTAAAGCTGTTGGATCCAAGGCAAGAAAATTTCGGATTGCTACTGATGTTTTAGCAAAGTCAATCCTGAAAAATACAAAAGCCTCGTGTCACAGTGCGGCTGTAAACTTCTTACAAAACTGTACTCCCTTGACTATAGTTTGTCCTTCTCTCTTCTAATGCTACCATATTTATTGTCTATTACTAAGCTTTCAGCTGCTACAGTTTATACTTAACACACATGAAAGACCCTTATTTATAAAGACCACATAAAACATTTAACTAGAAGACTATTTTAGTGAACATTCCTTTGGAGTTAAGACATTCTGAAAAAACTAACTTGATCTGTAAAATTTCATTAGATTCTACCTCTTTCAACTATCATATCATTAGGCTGTAAGTTGTTTTTCTTTAGGGGTTGAACAGTATTCCCAAAGAGATACGCTGAACTTCTAAATCCTGGTACCTGTGAACATGACCTTATTTAGAAATAGAGTCTTTGCAGATGTGATCAGTTAAGATGATGGCATTAGAATGGGTTGTAATCCAATATGGCTGGTGCCCTTATAAGAAGAGAAGGGACACAAAGACCTACGAGGAAGACTGTCAAGTGACAACAGAGGCAGAGATCGGAGTGATGATTCTGCAAGCCAAGGATTGCCTGCAAGAGCTGGAAGCTAGGAGAGAAGCTAGCAGAGACTCTCTCAGAGACCTCCAAAATGGAATCGGCTGTGCCAACACCTTGATTTCAGACTTCTAGTCTCCAGAACTGTGACAATTAATGCCTGTTCTTTTAAGTCACCGAGTTTGTAGTATTTTGTTACAGCAACTCTAGGAAACTAATACAATACTCAGACTCTCACCTATACTTGATTTAGACTTTTTGAGTTGATTGTATCTGGAAGAAATTTTGGACTTAGAGTTGATGCTGGAATGGGTTAAGACTTTGGGGCATTTTTTTTTCCTCCCATGGTGTTCCCATCCTCCCAAAATAAAAATAGACACATGCTGGCTTTTAAAAAAGTCAAAATAATGTTAATGTCCTACAATTCTATTTTGAATACTGTCATAGTCAATGACACATTTTGCTCAACATTTCCTCCTGAAGAAAAGTTAGAGGGATCTGCAGTCACAGCAGTCTTACCTGTCAAAAGCTGAAATTGTACTGAGAGCCAAGAGCAAGTAGAGAAGACTCTGGAAAGGATATGCTAAAGTCTTGTATTGTTGCAAAAGGTTCGAGAGGTTAGAAAGCTGATCTCCTGCTAGAACATATATCACAACAATATTCCACACAGCACAGCCTGCCAAGAAGCCATGAGAAAAGAGACCAACCATCCTGAATAAAAAAGAGTTTGATTATTATACATGAATTACTACAGTAAAAATATTTTTAAAGTCTCTTCATATATAAGAATAAAATTCAACATTTCATGGAAAGTAAAAACAAGCCTTTTTACGACACTGAAGTCAGATGATTTAATTCCAATTGAATGTTTAGAAAAAATACCCACTCACCATTTAAAGTCATTAATTTTGTCAAGTGTTGAACAATCAACACTTTTTTTTTTTTTTTTTAAATATGGAACATTTGTTTTAAGAAAAATCCAACAAAGGCAGCCACCTGAAAGCCCGGTGCACTGAAAGGGCAACATCTCTGGTGGTCCAGGAAAGCTTCATGTCCATCGACACATCTACATTTTCTGTGGTCTTTATCAACTCTGAACGATCGGTGGCCTGAAATCGCCCTAAGAACACATTACACAATTATTAACAATGAACAAGAAAGAACCCTGACAGTCTTTTTTTTATTAATCCACACTTAAAAACCCTCAGATGGAGACTGAAATTTTGCTGTTTTTCTATCTAAAAATTATATCCGGTTCAGACCCTGTTTCAAAAGGCTCTTTTTCTTTTGGTTGTTTAAACATACTACTTTTTTCTATCGTTAGGAAAAATAGACGATGTCCATGCACTTTCTTTTCAACCTGAAATAGAGGTTAGTTTTAGAAATCAATTATATTTAAGGAAATGCAATAATGAACTTCCAACTAAAAGTCTAGAAATCTTTAACGTGACAAAGTCTAAAATATTCTCATTTAGAGACTTTAAAAGTATTAAAGTTTAAATGTCAACAGTATAAAGGCAAGTATTTGAAAACACTTTAAATTTCTTAGGAAAAGATGCCAGTGTGTGTAGCATGGCACTCTGTGATGAGAGAAAAGAAACGGGTTGTTTCATAAACTTCTCTTAAGAAGTTTCCTGTGAGAAGTATCAGTTCAAGTGTCAGCACAGCAACACTGTGTCCGCAGAGCTTTATTCTTTTACTGTTGAGGAGGAAGCTCCTTCTCATATGTCTGCAAATCCACAAATGAACCTCAGGCAGCAGTCAAAGTTCCATTTCAATTATGCTTGCCAAACCTGGCTGTCAGGTATTTCAGAAGATGAAAGACAGAGGTGCAACACCTAATTTTCCCCGACAACTTCTGGACGGACAACTGGTATCCTTTATGGTCAATTACTCTAGCAGGGAAGTTTCTATGCTAAGGGAAACAAGAATAAAAATGAGGACTGAGTGATATTGCTTGAAAATAGACAAGTAAATTAAGTGGCTACATGGTATACTAGTAAAAGCACTTGACTAGATAGAAGTCATGAAAACTTTATTCAAGTCCCAGTTCTGCACTAACCAACTGTGAGTCCCTAGGTAAGTCAGTTAGCTTCTCTGGATCACAGGTTCCTCACTGGCCAAGATCCCTTAGAAGGGATATTAAAGAACCAGAATTCTAAAATGAATTACATAACATATAAATTGTTAATTTAAGGACTAATCTTTATGTTTCAGACAAGTCCTTTAGGCAGCATATTCATAGCATATCCACGGGAGAAGCATATGTCATGATCATCCTTTAGGTAAGATTTTTCTCAAATACTACAAACGTAGTCTTATGACCAGCGTGTGCTATACAACATCACAACTATTTCCAAAGGAGTATACAATTATAATGTTGTATTTCTTATTTAATATGGTAACACCATTATATATGTTCTCTCATTTCTTTTTAATTATAGAATTTATATCATTACCTGCCCCACCAATACCATCATTACCAATTGTAGAAAACTAGTAAAAATACAACAAAAAATAAAGAAATGGATGGAAGGGTAGGGGGAGTTTTTTTTTTTTAAATTAAAATTACTGGGGTGACGTTGGTTAATAAAATCAAATAGGTTTCAAGTGTACAATTCAATAATACATCCGTATATCGCACTGTATGTTCACCAAAGTTAAATTTCCTTCTATCACCAAATATTTGGTCCCCTTTACCCCTATCTACCTTCCCTCTCTCCCCCTTTCCCTCTGGTAACCACTAATCCATGGTCTGTGTCCATGAGTCTTTGTGTTTGTCATGTTTGTTTGTTGCTTTCAGTTTTATATCCCACATGAGTGAAATCAAATGGTTCTCAACGTTTTCCGTCTTATTTTGTTTAGCATTATAATCTCAAGATCCATCCATGTTGTCGCAAATAGCAGTATTTCATCTTTTCTTATGGCTGAGTAATATTCCATTGCATATATGTACCATATCTACTTTATTCATCTATCAAAGGAAACTTCAGTTGTTTCCATGTTTTGGCCACCATGAATAATGCTGCTATGAACAAAGGGGTGCATAAATCTTTATGGATAAATGTTTTCAAAATTTGGGGGTAGATACCTAGAAGAGGGATTGCTGGATCACATGGTAATTCTATTTAGTTTTTTGAGGAAGCTCCGTACTGTTTTTCATAGTGGCTGTACCAATTTCCATTCCCACCAGCAGTGTATGAGGGTACATTTTGGGGGATAGATTTTTTAAAAATTGCCCATAATACTATAACTCAGAAACAACCAGCATTAATATTTTTGCATATTTCCTTCTAGTTTTTTGTTCTATGCATTCTACAGCTGAGATCAAACTACATGTGTGTGTATGTTTATTTTTCATTAGACTCTTTCCATGCAATGTAGAATTTTCCCTAAACATTATTTTTAATGGTGCAGGAGATTTTATTACATAAATATAGCATAACTGACTGAACTCATTCCCCTCCTCTTTTATATTCCAGTGTGACGACTAGCTTTGTGTGTAAATTTTTGTCCACATTTTTGCTTATTCCCTTAATTTAGATTTCCAGAAGTATAATTTCTAGATCAAAGGATATCCTTGCATACTTCTTAAAGAGCTCATGTTCCAAAACAAGAAACTACTTACTGCTTTTTTCCACAAACACTTTGTCTACGGGCTGGCTAATGCCAGTGGGTGCAGTGAATACTGACTTCTGTTTTGGACTACTTTGCTGATCAGTAATGATGTCTTCATCTTCCACTCCTAACTCATTGTCATACTGCAATTCTGCTGGCTGGGTTTTCCTGTAATCAGAAAGAATGTAAGAAAAATGCATGATTGTTGAATTTTTACAGACCCACATAAGGAGGTACCTGTGAGTAAAAGAAAAGAGCTCTAGACTTTGGAGAAATTTGATTTTACTCAAACAGATCAGTTATTAACTGGTATGCGCAGCAAGTCACCAATATTTCTGTGGGCCTCACTTTTCTCATCTGGACAATGAAGTGACTAAATTAGATTTGTAAGGTTCTTTCCAGAATTCAAATTATATGATTCTGAATAGACACTGAATATTGTTTATAGAGTCATTTCTAAATACTATTAATATTGTTATACAACTTCCAATCAACTTCGTTAAAGTATGCCATTCTATTTTATCTGACACTTAATTTCCTATGCTAAAGTATTTTTATTTATTGCTGAAATAATAATTTGAATAAATTATAACAGCTGATTTTATTACTATTACCATAATTTTTAATATCTTTAAAATGTAAATTTTTTGCTACTTATATATAATCTTTTATTTGTGTTCCTCTTTTATAGAGATAGTTCCTAAGAATTTCTAGTTGAGTACAGTATTTTACTTTTCTCAGTGGTTTACTCTTCAAATTCATCATTAGGTCGGTTTAACTGCCAATTTTTGTAATCTACTTATCCTAGAGATAAACACTATAAGTATTTAATAAGACTTAATCAGAAGCTATCATTTGAGAGCTCTGAATTAAGTATCAAAGTACCCCTGAAGAACATTTAGAAAAACAAATAAATTCTTACTTTGTCTTCCTTCGTGGTTTCTGAACAACTGGCTCCTCAGCTGGCTCCACATCGATACCATTTTCATTTCGTAATAAAGATGGACTAGATGTCTTCTGGGTGAAGGCAGTATCCAATTCTGAAAAAAAAAAAAGTAGACTGAGTTGTCAAAAAAGAAAAGTGATGTATAAGACTTATAACATCAGAGAACCTTGGAAATTTTAATCAGGCAAAATCTTTTCATCTTACGAATTTTTAATTAAAAAAAATGTACACCTCTAAAAAAAACTCAACAAAAGCAGCTGAAATTGCAATGCCAAACAATATGGAACAAAAGTAAGCAATCTAACAGAGAAACAGAAGAAAAAATGTAAAGACAGAAGCACAAAACGAAGTTATGCTGCCACAAGCCAACGAATGCCAAGGACTACCAACAATAACCAGAAGCTAGGAGAGCCAAGGATGAATTCTTTCCCATTGCCTTCAGAAGGAGCATGGCCCTGGGGACACCTTGATTTGGAACTTCTCTCCTCCAGGACTGTCAGAGACTAAATTGCTGTTGTTTTGAGTCACTCAGTTTATGGTAATCTGTTATGGCAGCCCTAGGAAACTAATACAACATATTTTACAAAATGGGATTGTCTGATATATACTGTTTTATAATCTTTGTTTCTGACTTAATGATATATTACTGATGGTTTTCCATGTCATTATTGCACTTTTACAGTCCTTTCGATGGGTACTTGATTTCTATTAAATGAAGAAAAGGATTTATTTGGCCAGTAACACACTGCTAAATATTTGGTATTACCAGTTTCTACTCATAAATAATGTTGAAGTCAACATCATTTAATTATTGTAGCTGTTGTAGTTATTTCCTTGCTACAAGTTCGAACAGGCTATACCAATTTACATTCCTATGAGCAGTGTATGAGTACCCATTTCCCTTCAGCACATTTGGATTTTATAATTTTTAAAAAGCATTGCCAATTTTATAGAAAAAATAAATGATATAGTATTGTTTATCTTGTTTAGCATGAATAGTATCCGAGTCTTAGCAAAACCCAATAAATTTGGCCATTGCTTTATTATATTATTAATGCAGAATCTATCCTTTCCCCGCTAATCTTAAATGTCCTTTTCATTATATACTAAATTCTTATACATGCCAAGATCTAAACTTTCTATTTTAGTCCTGAATTTGTACTCCTTCTCTCATAATCTACACACATATGATCAAAAAAGACCCTCTAAAGTGTTCTTGACTTAACCCAATTGAGTTACTCCAGTAATAAAAATTTTAAACGATAAAGAAAAAAATGGAATATGAGTAGGGAAAAATGGGAACAGACAGGTTTTTAATCATACCCTAGAAATCACAACTGTTATCACAACCTAACCCTGGTTTCTTTACATACCAAGAGGGAGCCTTGTCTTCTTCTGTCTCCTTTGAACAGGAGCTTCTGGCTCCTCTATGGGTTCTTTAGTTGGTGGCTCACTGCCTTCAGATGGCCTATGAACAGCAGTCTGAACAAGGCCTTCCAAAGAAGCACTTGCTACAGAAAAACAGAGTGGAAAAATGGGATAATTTGAGCAGAGATCACTGAGTCTTAAATAGAGAGACCTAGAACGTGTCCTATATAACAACCCTTTGTTTTATAGAACTGATTATACCCCAGATCAAGATTTCCTTCCTCCTCACCTGTAACTTTGGGTTTTAAGTTGAGGAAAGAAAGAAATGAGGAATGAGAATCAGAAAGAAAAAGGGGGAGGGGCTAGGAAGAACAAAAGAAGGGAAGGAGAAGAATTTGCTTCAGAATTTTCAAAAAAGTTAAAACATAATGGAAACTATCACCATAGAGAACTCTCTTACTTGTCTTATGCCTTAAGAATTATCAGCCTCTATAGTTTAGTACTTCATTAGTAAAATTAACAAATGGTAGTCATTATGGATAACTGAATGGATAATTTATAAATCTCTTCATTTGGTCATTCATTTCGATCTCTCCCCTCATCAAGTCTTTGAACAAATTTCAACACATTTTGTCAGATTTGGATTTTACTTGACTATATTCCCTTGCCTATCTTCTTCACAAAAGAAGAAATATAAATATATTAATAAACAAATGAAAAGATGCTTTACCTCATTAGTATCCAGGTAATCAGAAACTAAAATAAGCTACTATTTGACCACAAGTTTGACAAAAAATTTAAAAGATTGATATTGTCCAATGTTATCAAAGATTTAGTGAATGACACTCAAACTCTTGTTGGTGGTGACAAAATAACTAAAGCTTCCTTGAAGGCAAATTAGAAGATTCTATCATATTAATAATGCACAGGTCCTCTGTCTAACAATTTCGCTGCTAGAAGAAGAAACATCTCTTTTTCCCCATCACCCACTACTTCAGATAATTTGAAATAACCAAAATAAACAATTTTAATAAAAGCCTAGCAACATATTTCCCTTTTTTGTCTAGAGCACTGAATTTTTGTTTTCTCTTTTTTACAAGGAAGTGCTGGTAGCTGGGACAGAGCTGTGTCTCTGCTCCCCCAACTCTGTCTTTATTGTATCCTCCACCTGTGACTGTCCTAAGTCCATATGTACATGTCTGTATTTAACTGAGTGTATTTTTAGGGCCTACCATTTCAGTATCTTTGTGAATCTACGTTTCTGTGCATCTATTTGTTGTTTTGTTTGTGTCTATATTTCTTTTTCTTTATGCATCCATCTCCGTTTCTTTTTCTCCATCTATTCCTCCATTTGTTAGGCAATGATAAGCCAATATAAGTTTCCAACCAGGTGTATGGTCATGTATCAGCTGTAAAAAGGTCAGCCAGCAGTGGCGGGCAGGACCAGTTAGAGTGAAAGAAAGCTGGAAGCACAGGGCAACGTTGGAGGCTACCCCAATAGCTTAGGTGAAAAGAGGTAAGTAGCTAAACCGCCTACAGCTGTGATACTGGAAATGCAAGGAGGAAAGAGACCTAAAAGACATCATAGAAGCAGCAAGCTTGTGAAAAGCAGCAAGTAGAATGAAGGGACCAGTTACAGGTGACACTGATATTTCCAACCTGAGTGACTGGGAGAGTGGGAGGTTCCCATTAACAAAATTTGTAGTGAGAAGTAAAAAACTGACTTATCGTTGAAGGTGATGAATTCTGGATGTGCGAGTCTGAGTTATGGAACACCCAGGATTATAAATGAATAACTAAAACAAAAAGGAGTTCACAGAATTTGCTCATTATTGAAGCTTTACTACCTGGATGATATGGCCCTGCCTTCAGACTCATGCTCTAACGCAGACATTCTCTGACTGAAGTGAGGGATCCTAGAACCCCATGTCTCTAAATCCAGTATTCTGTGCCAGGGTCTGGAACCAATCACAATTTAGATAACTTACGTTGTCTAGGGCTAAAACACCCCCAAAGAGTCCAAGAATGTAGTGGAAGTAAGAATATTGGTGGCATAACCCTCTATTTCATGACTCCTTCTAAACACTCTTCAGGCTGCCTACTGCCTTGCTCCTCACTACTACCAGGAATCTCACTGCTTCAAAGTAACCCTGATTCTTTCCTCAACACAGCAGTGACTTGGGACTACTGGGGCTTCGCCTCTTCCTGATCTGTGCTGTTTATCACGAGGTCCTGGAAAAACTTGTGATCCCACACAGCAAAGAACAACTTACCTAGCGTGGTTTTTGTTCTGGACTTCTTTTTTTTAGGACGACTAAGTGGAATATCATCTGTAAAACAGAAAGAACAACAGAAAAGGCTGCCTAAAATTTAATGCAGAGAACAGTCAAAAGGGAACTTGCAACAGGGAAGACCTCTCTCTCTCTTCTCTGGGTCCAGTCAAAATCTACACATTAGGGGAAGAAGGCAAGAAACAGACAAAGACAAAGAGAGTCCATAGTGTGGTATCAGTAGCTCACTGCTCGTCAGTAATGTTAGAAAGTGTGACATGGAAAGTGAGCTCACTAAATAGTCATTTGATCCCCTACATTTTCCAGATCCCTTGTACTTAGGTGTGGCCTATGATTAGTTCTGGTCAACAGGTTTTCGGCAGAAGTGATCTGTGTTATTTGGAAGCCAAAACATTGAAAGAGCCAGTGAAAAACTCTTCAGCTTTTTCTTCTCTTGCTGTGGCAACTGAGAAGGCCGCATATTAGGATGGCAGAACCACAGTATGGAAGTAGCCTGACTCACTACATCGTTAATGAAGAGGTAGTGAAAGCCAACTGCCCTGGATTGTTTCCAAAATGGACTTAGCATCAATTAGTAATAACTCTGTAAAATATTAAATCACTGAGATCTTGGGGTTAATGTAGCATTACCCAGTCTATCCTGACTAAATGAGACAAAGGAAGATGCAGACCCTAACGCAGAACTATAAACTAGCCAAGAGTTATAATCTGGGTGACTCCATTCAGGAATAAGTGCTTTTATATTTGTAAAGTCATATATAACTATATAATCAGTGTTAAAAATCAATCACCATTTTAAAATGGCAGTTGTAGGAGAGTATTATGATAAACAGAATTGTAGTATTATAAATTATATCATTCAGATTTAATTTTATGAGAAAGATTAAGGAATCAAACTAACTTTTGAACATCAAATACTACATTTAGAAAGTTTTACATTGACAATGAACTAACTCACCTTGAATAGAACTTTACATGACACCGACCAAATTTAATCAGGACAAAGACAAAAGAAGAAACTATTAATTAGAAAGCTATTATATATTGTCAAATTGAAAACTGACTTAAATCATTACAGATTTAAAATACAATTCGCTTTCATACAAAGTCAGCTAGTTTACAAACTAGCTTATTTTTATAATACCAATATTTTCTGAACCTGCATATACATATTCCCTACTGTCTATTAATAAAGTAGATTAAATAGATTAAGAATTCTTATTTTGTCACCGATTAAAATCAGCTTAAACTCCGAGGAAACTACTCTAGCAAACAAAAGAGAATCGAAATTCTGATAAACAAGACACTAAAATATTCTAAACGGATCCATTATCCTAACCCATATTGACATTTAGGCTCTGGAACAGAATATTTAATTATAAATCTTATCTTAATGATTCAAGGATATTTCATCTTTAAACTGTTAAGAAGCCTTTTCCTAAAATTTTCAAGAAATATTTTCTGAATTATTACAGTTTTGCAATGCTAGTCAATTTTTCACTTTACTCATTTTATATTTTTAAACTCAATAATAAAATTACTGTAAAGTACTTTTACCTTGGCACAGGTGGAAGGGCTCGTGGAGGACGCTATGGGAAAAAGAAGAAAATTACTTGTAAGTAAAAACCTAGAGGATCTTTACTTTAAATATTTCAAATCTTTTGATTACCCTGTTTATCAGTGAAGCCAGGAGGTACTGATGAGAATCAAATGGACCAATATTCACATTTGTTCTGCCTATTCCAAATTTCAAATAAAATTCCTTCCTTCCTATGTTCCTTTATATCTACAGACCAGCCCTGTTCTAAGCACTAACGATATAATAATGAACAAAACAGAGATCTTGCTTCCATGGAACTTTACATTCTAATGATTAGGTATTAGCAGATAACGTGTGTGCGGGCATATGTAGTAGTAAATGAGTGAGGGTGAGACCTGCTACTTTAGTTAAGGAAAGTCTCAGATATCTGAGCTGAGAACTGAATAAGAAAGGAGCCTACATTTTTGGTAAAGAGCCTTTAGGGGAGATTGGGTTTCGAGTGTTCAGGTAAAAGGCGGCCAGTAAGGCTGCAGCAGTTGCCAAGATGAGGTAGGCAGAGACCAGATTAATTAGGGCCATGAAGACCGAGGGAAGGAATCTAGATTTTGTTTTAATTCAATAGGAAGCCTATGGAGGTTTTGAGCTGCATAGTAACATGCTTATTAAAAAGATCACTGAATAGAGGATGAAGAATGCATTTTAGCACAGAAAGAATGGGGTGGAGGGGAGACCTTATAAATGCTGCTTTACACAAATAAGAAAAGTTGTGTTTGTAGTTCAGAGAGATTATAGTTAAGAAGCATTCTCAAATATTTCAAAATAAAATACTAACAGAAATGCCTAGAAATCAATTTAATGTTCAAAGTACCTCATGCTGCTTGCACAGGGCATTGATTCAATAGGGTTAAATTTTAGACACTTTTGTAGTTCGCTCTGCAACTGTCCCATTTAGCAATCTATTCGTTCAAACAGTGTATTAATACAAATGCTGCAAGAAGAGGGTAAGGCTTAATACCGTCCAGTACTCAAAATTACAACTGGAAAAGTAGGACAGTCACATGAAAGCGCTTTTGTTCTAAAGATGCTATGAATCGCGTTCTAGCCAAGGCTCAGTTCACACGGTTCCACATTTCAAAAGTCCCGCAAAAATGAGGTGACACTCATCCAAAACCCCAACCTTTAATCCCCTCAAAAGCAGGGCGGTTCGACTAAACACAAAATCCTAATAACTCAAATGTAACTCGGGCTCACTTACCACCTGCTTCTTTCCCATTCTTCGGGAAGCCCCCGGCGGCCGCCCGCCGCCAGGCGGCGCTCACACCCGGCGCTAGCTCACGCCCACTGGGGCCGGCCGCGCGCAGGCGCAGTGCGTCATCGGGCTGCGTCGCATGGCTGCTGCAGCCAGCGGCCGCTCATTGGCGCGGTGGGAACAAGTGGGGAGCGTCGGAACCTGGCGTGGCCTGGCCTGGCCTGGCATTGCCTTGCTTTTCCGTCTTACCCCCGCGGGAAATGGGGCGTCGGAGTCGGGGCTGACGTGCCCGGGAGGGGGGACTCCAGCGGGTGTGGGGAAGCGGTTTCCCCCACGGTTTCCAAAGTAGTTACAATGGTTTGTTTGAGACGTGAGAGAAGATCGTGCTGAAAAATCTCCGCTGGCAAAGATTGGTCTCTCTCCCCCCGGTTGCTGCATGCCCTGCGGGCGGAGTCATCAGGGAGGGCCTCGCTGGCAGCCCGGTACCCGCAGGGGCTGGGGCGGCTGAGAAGTGAGGCGTCGTCATGACAACAGAAGCACCGAGGCCCCTGGAAACTTCACGCCTGGCCCCTCGCCTGGCTCCAGGAGTTCGGGTCCCGGCCTTGGGACGAACTTCCAGCACCCGCCCCAGTCCGATCCTGTGGCCCCCGAAGGGGTCGGTGTGCGCATCCACTAGCCGGGATCTCCCCTTCTGATCCCTAGCGCGTCGGCCCTGCCCCAGGGGTAGCTGCTGCGTTGGAGCTGCACCCTCCTCCCGCGCCACTTCCCTTGGCCCACGCACCCCTCACCGCTCACCGGGTGGTCCTCCAGTCGAAGCCCCGGGTCGGCCCTCATGGCTCGCTCCCTGTAGTGCTCCCGCAGCGCAACCGCCGCCGCCCGAGCCTAGTTCCCCGCGACGCCGTGGCCTCCGAGACCAGAGGGAGGCGGGGGCTTCTCAGATCCTGACTAGACCGCCGCCTCTGGGGCCCCGGCTCCTCCCGCCTCTGCTCTGCCCAGTCAGGCTTTCCAAGGCGTCAGAGTTAGGGACGCACGCAGTTAGCTCCAACTCCAGGGCCAACGTTTCAGTTCGAATGGAGGTGAGGTGGAGTGTGTGTGTGTGTGTGTGTGTATGTGTGTTTTGATAGAGGCAATTCTCAAATTTTCTCCAGTTGCTTACCCTGTGGAGAGCGGACTGTAAGCTTACAAGGTCCTTGCAGTCTGCAGGACAACCAAGGGTTGCCCCACCTAGCAAATTCCTTCTGAGAACAAGGAGGTTCAAATGTAGCTGCAGGCAGACAAACAAGCTGAAGGTCGAAGTAGAAACAGTGTTGCCATGCATAAGTATATAAGCACCTTGCAAAAATAAAACTGCGCCGGGGCTCCACCATCAGTGGACAGTGGACCTCCTGAACCCAACTTTCTGTCTTCTGTCTTTTCTCAACCTCTCACGCTTCCCACTCGGGCACATTCTCCAGTGCTGCGCCGCGCTGCGCTGGACGGGCATGACCCTCCATTCCATAACTTTGTAAATCAAGTTTGGAAAACCTTTTTCTCAAGCACAGCAAAATCAACTCTGGGCTCACATAAGTATCATTAAACGGGCTCACATAAGTATCATTAAACATGACAATTTTCATTTCGTTTGGTTGGGTTTTACAGAATATTCACTTTAAAAAATTACAAATATTTTGAAACACGCAGTTATAGTTAAGAGAGAGTAGAGGGATGGTGTGTATATGCAGAAGATAGATACAGGGGCAGGAAGAGTGACTGGAAGTCTCAGACCTATCGAAGAAGGAAAAACAAGACTTCTTGGAGTAACATCCTCATCTTGTGGTTTTCTCGGATACTGGTCTCTATGATTAAAGTCCATTGCGCTTTCCTGATTTAGGCATAAATGTAGATATTGACTTTAGGAAAATTAATGATTGTTATAGCTCTGATCAGAAGAATAATTTTTCCTTGTAGCCTGATGTGTAAAATGTTGAGTACAATACAGTTTCTGTCGTTTTTGATGTTAGATGTGCAATGTGTATTTTAACCCATTTTTCTTGCCGAGTTAGTCAAGTAGACACTTTGTAAAAGTCATTTTTATAAAACAAGTTTCATAAGGTAATATACAGTCTCTGAAATTAAATACTACTTATTTTATTTAGGGAAGCTCTTTTTATCTAAATTGTACAAAGACCACATGAAATCTATGAAGGGTTCTCATACTCAGTGACTTAACACTGTTCATATTCCTATCAATTGCTGCATATGAGGTAAAGGAAAACTTTTTTTTCCCAAAAGCCGAATAGATAAACATAACCATACAATGGATTTTTTTTCAAAATTAATAAACTAAAGTACTTTTAAAGTTGCACACATTATAATAGGGCAAATATTGCTATATTAGATTGCAGCTGTTAGCCCAGAGCTTTCTAACGGGTGAACATTGTTAAAACTCCAGCATTAAGCAGAATGCCTCCCTAAGACTCAGGATCATAGGAAACCCATGTCGCTGGTACCCACTGAGGCTCCGTCTGAGCCTTCTGAACTGCAGACAACAACTGGGCACATGCTTCTTGCAGCTTGTCATTCACAATCACATGATCAAAAAACTGGCCAAACTGAGTCTCCATTTTTTGGGCTAAATCTTCCATCTCCTGTAGATCTTCATCCTTCAGGAGAAATAGAAAAATATGGACAGCATAAACTTAATAAGATGAATAGAACAGAAATAATGTGCAGTTTGTTATGCTTTTACATTCAGCTATTTAGAGAAACAACTAGGTCAAATTACTGTTCTCTATTTTAAACCATAGACTTATGTTTCTATCTTCAGTCATAATGTCTTCCTGGTCAAGTTTTCACAAAATTATGTAACAGTTCATAGTTCACTTAAACTTAAATTATCTTATTCTATTATCTAAACACTGAAGCTCTCATACCATATACAAAAACAACCAAAGAAATTTTAAATGTAATTAAAATTTAAACATAAATTTCAAATGAACATTAACTGATAAGAATGACATTATTCTGCAGATACAAAATGGCTATTTTCAACATGGAATGGTATGACATCATTCTATTGAATTGAGAATACCTAAATTACCCTTTGCTTCACAATGACTTAATTCACTATAACACTGTATATTTCTGCTACTGTGAAATGCTCATTCAATGAAGGTCATTTGGCCTTCACTTGGTACTAATGTACGAACTTCATTTCTGTTATTTTCTTATTTGTCCACAACAATTAAAATAGTACAACTTTGTGCCAAAGCAATCATAAACACAGATATAAATGCAGGCACTGAAATTTTGTGGCAGTACTCCTTTACAAGGCATCCATTCACATGATCCAGAAATAATTTTATTAATTTGTGTATATTGCCATAAAAATGAAAGAACACATTTTAAATTCCCATAGGACTCAGATAACATATCCATGAACTCCACTGTCTGAAATGCAAACTTGCGAATCAGACTTTCATACAGTAGTCACTGAAAAAACTATAAAGATAAAAATAATAGAAGATAAAGGATAATATAAAAATACCTTATGCTCACTTAAGCAGTACATATACTAAAATCGGAACAATACAGAGATTAGCATGGCCCCTATACAAAGATGGCATGTAAATTCGTGATACATTCCGTACTTTTAATTTCAGTTTTGCAAGATGAAAAAGTTCTGGAGAACTGTTTCACAGTGTGACTGAACTATATACTTAAAAATGGTTGAGGTAGTAAATTTTGTGTTTTATGTATTTTTTACCACATACACACACACACGCACACAAATAAGTAGATGTATTAACTTGATCTAGGAAATAGTTATCTGTGTGAATACATATGTAAAAATTCATTGAGCTGTACACTTAAGATTTTTAAACCTTGCTGAATGTATGTTATGAGTTAAAATAAAGTGGATTTAATGAAAAAATTTATATATAAAACTGAAAAAAATTCATCTATTCTCATCTGGCTTGGCTCCTCTATTAGTACCATCATCATTAATAAAAAGTTTGTATGTTTAGAAATATATAGAAAGACACCTCAGATTACAGATGAGTTATATTCACTAGAGCATTTTTAAAGTAAATTTTTAAATGTTTCTGTAAAATAATCCATTTTAAATACAAATATCAGGCTTGTGCACACCCAATTTCTGTGTGGCTCTGTGAACTGCAGTTTAGGGATCTTTCTTTTTTTAAGCTAGACTCTAAAAAGAAGAAAAAATTAAGAATAGCATTATAGCTGTTATTAAACTTTATTTTGATATTTATAAATGATGTCCAGTAAAGATAAATCATAAGGGCATTATTCATTAGAAACATAAATTATGTTCTTTAACATAAGGATGCTGTGGAAACAATACAGCGATGTTTGACTAGAAAAAAAACTTCCTCTGTGTCTTACCTTGAATTTCATGTCCACAAAGTAGTCTGTAATGATCTTGGCATTTTTCCTCGATTCCTTCATACAACTCATGTTAGATGGTTTTATAAATATGACATAGGGCTTCAGTTCATGGGTTCGAGCCACTTGAATACCCTACACAGAAAAAATAAGTACACATTTAAAAACAGAAGACCTAATTTCCTAGAGTCAATGTGAATGTTCTCAAAATTTCGAAAACTAGAAATTAGCAATTATTTTTAGCCAGAGAATATTTCCATGTGCCCCCAAGTTCTCAAATCTAAAAAACATTTTAAAAATTAAAAGATGGGGTTCTAGAATCAAATTAAGTTCAAATCATGACTCTGTTTTACTGGCATGACTCCTTTATTGAAATCTTATAATAGGATTCTATACATGGTCTCTTAAGACAAAGGCAAAGACAGACTGTCAAGGCAGATCAGCTGTTTCACCCTCACTTCCCTTCCCTCTTGCCACCGATACTACTGACATCTTCACACTGACCACCAGTAAGAACAAATCTATTGTCCCCTTATTCTCTTTAGAACATAAAGTATAGTTTTAAATGACTACAGAAAACGCAAAGAAAATACAAGAATCATAAAAATTGGGCCTACACATTGTGTGTTCTTTATCTTAACTTGCTCACTCCTGCTCCATTCCACATATGGTCCTGGGGAGGTGGCTATAGATATGACAACATAGGAACCTCTCTTCCTTGTGTAAAGCCAATATCTTATCCCCTCTATAGGAAGTTACCTTGATGCCTTTGTGACCAAGGTCAACACAGGATTCTAAGTTTTCTTTACGGCCACCTTCTCAGTTCTGGTTTTGTGTCTGAGAAACTAGATTTCTACCCTAACTAAAAACAAGATATTAGTATTGATCCCTCATGTAAGATCCTGGCCCTTAGATATGAGTAGTGTCTTATTCTTAACAGGCTAACAGAATAAAGTGTCTCAGCTACAACCTACAGCATGCGCACAAAATGGATGGCATGCATTCATTACTTTGGGGAGATGGGAACATTCCACCACAGACCCACCTGAGGCTCTAAGTCCATGACACAGATCTTCCCTTCATCAAGGACTGCTTGAACAGCATCCACACTGGTGCCATACAGGTGGCCTTTGTACTCACCATACTCGAGCATCCTGTAAGAGTGAAATGAAGAAAACAAGAACTCTTTCTACAAATAAAATATTATTTATAAAATATTATTAGTAGTAACATGAAGGTAAACTCTAACAGCATAGAATAAAATATGTGGACTTTACTAGCACAAAAAGGAGTAGTAGATATTTGACAGGAGAAAAAAATATTAGGAGAGCTAGGACTTATGACTTCTCCAAATTCTCTAAAATTTGCAACTCAATTCTGCCCCCTCTCATAATCCAATAATTGGTGTACTGTACGTCGACTTACAATTTCTTGCTTAATTCTTCAGAAACAAAAAGAAATTACCTCAGAAGCTTTGGACAAAGCATAAAAATAGAGAATCTATTTTGAATGTAAAACAACCATAGGCAAGAATCAGATTCTGAACGTCTAGCTTACCTGTGGCTATACATGAGGCTTTCAAATGTTTCCTTTGACACATAATGATATTCACGTCCATCCATTTCATAACTCTTTTTGGAACGAGTAGTATCTATTAAAAAAGAGAATTTTTAAAAAGGTCTTCGAACCTTCAAAATTCACTACCAATACACATTTGGATTAAAAAAATGTCTAATCAAAATAAATAAGTGAATATATAAATAGATAAATAAAATTCTAGAACCAAAAAAGGAGCCTGAATTGATAAGAAAGTGGAAGTTATCATATCAAAATCAGTTAATCTATAAACCTTTATTAAGTGATCATGGCTTGGACAAGAATGTATTAGGTATTAGGCCAGGATAGGGATGCCCCAAGGGAACACCTGCTCTTTACAACAGGTACTAGTGAATTATGCATGAGCCCTAAGATGCCTAAAGGCCCCCAGGCAGCAATACCAGCAATATCTTATGCTTAGATACGTGCCTTTTCCAAGCTCTCATTTCATCCTTCACACTCCTAGCTAGATGAAATTTTATTGCCTATACTTTACTGATAAGTAACTGACAATTTTAGAGAGTAAGTAACTTGTTCACATACATAAGATGAATGAAAAGCAAAGTTGAAAACAAGAACCTAGGTGTTATGACTCCTCCTAGACTAATGTTTTCTATTACACCAGATTGTCTCCAATATGAAATGGAAAAAGTCAATGACAGTCTGCAGTCTCTTCCCGATGTATTAACATCCAAGTGAGATAGTGATTAGTTTTAGGGATCTTCAAAAAGGAAAAATTGGTAGAGTCTGGATTCAATCTGCTTCTTTGATATGACCATTTTGATTATAGATTCTTCAACTTAAATACCACCTAGTATAGAATGTAGGAGTTAATCAAATCTGTATAAGTGATTCATTGTCTGTTCATCCATTTATTCAACTAACATGTATTGAGTGCCTATGTTCCAGCTATCAGGTTAGATTCTCAAAACACAAAGATGAATAAGACACAGTTCCAACTCTATATCCTATATGTGCTGCAAAACTAATTCCTTAATCTGAATTACAATAAATTCTTCTTCATAAAAATTGTGTATCTGCATTTGATAAAGTTTAAAGATGAAATAGATCAACACCTGATGATATCAACACATGGAAATGACCAAGTAGGAGCTTGAAATAGGACTTAAATGGTAAAAGGCATTATGGACATTCAAGGGACTCAAAAAGCAAATGTCATCTGGAGGTCATTTCTTTTTTATTTATTCAAGCCTCTCTTCAGATCCTAAGACTTCCTACAATTATGCCACTTTTATAGCTTTGTACTGAAAAAAAAAATTCTAGTAAAACATTGTGGTTCTCAGATGATAGTAAATTATGTTAATATAAACCTAAGATGATCCCTTCTCCTCAGCTTCTATTGGACTGTATTTCAGTATGTTAAAGTCTGTGAATTGGTACATAACCCAAGGTATTGATTTTAAGCTTAAAGGTATCCACTCAATTTAAGAAGCAAAATATGGACAATACTTTCTCTCACTTTGCATGATGGCTCTCCATTCTCCTTACAATTGTTTATATTCTGTGGGCATTTTATTTTCCTCCAGATTATTGAAAAATGATGATTTCTTTCTTAGTTTTTGTTTTTGAAGTTAATGCCCATTCTTACATAGGCAAACAGTACTTGGACAGCACAGCCTATGGCTGTGATTATAAAACAACTATTTTTTTTGTCTTCAACTGCCCTTCTTTAGAGCAAGACCTTCCCCTGTTCTTGGATGAAAGCTAGCCCTTCCCATGACTCTTCTGATTACTCCTTTAAAAATAATGTCCACCACCATTCATGTGACAAAACTCAGTGTCAACTGAATAATTAAAATTCCATCCCCATGTAATAATCAAAGGTATGAATTTTATATATATTTTAGGCTTCTCCTCCCCACATCTAGCTCGGGCTTGCTGTACCCAGGGAAGATTCACTTTGTTTTTTCCCTTTCAAGGCATTTCTACTGCTCTTCCTCCAGCTTTATAACTCTCCAAGGGTGGAGTGCAGAGAGAGCAGACAGGAAACAGAGCAGAACAATTCTTACTTAACTGATGCTGGTTGCTATTGTCTCCCTGGCTCTTTCTCTCTTAGAGGATGTTTGGGTTATTTTGCAACCGCTACCACCATCTTACCACCACCACTGAGTATCTTAAAAACACCTCTATTCCAGCTAGTCATTTGTGATTTCTCCCATGCCCTGAGGTATTTGGGGGTCCCCTTATGGCCTCTTTCTGCCGAGACTTCTTCTTGGGCAGGACTAAGACAGCCCCAGGCTTACTTCCTCCCACATTACCAACCCAGATCTTATCCCTGGGAAACATCACTTTTGCTGGGACAGACTCTAAAAGGGCAGCTACTTTCCAAACTATAGCCATTTTTCACTTCCTCTAAGCTCTTATCCTTTAGACTTTTTTAGGTATGATTTGATACCCAAACTGCAGGGAGCCCATATTAAACTCTTTAAATGGTTCCCCCAAGTGCCTCTGACTTGCCTTGAGGTGAAGGGGAACCACCCACACTCACAAGCTCTTCCCGCCAGTATGGTATAATCATACTTATAGATTTACATGACATTATTTGTGCATATATTAACATTTTTAAATAAAAAAAACAAATAAGAGCCAAGCACAGTGCTGGGAAAATAGTAAGTACTGAATAAATGTTAGCTATTGTTGCTAAATATTAGTTTTCCCAAAGAGTCATCTATATGATCATTAAGAAATGAAAACAAGACAAAGTCATCTTTTAAAAGCCTAGCTACCTCCATGTCAGTAAATCAATTCCCTCTATTAAAATAAATATAGTTAGAAATACTAAGAACTATCCCTTTTGTCTTATATTTTCACAACAAAAATGGAATGGCTTAGTTAACTGAGATCAGGACATCTGCAGAGGCAAAGTTTTACCAAAGCATAAACTGCTATGAAAAAAACTTAAACATACGTGGCACAGCACTTTGAAAATGGTTAGGATTGAGTTCAATAAGTTGTCTTCTCAGTTCATTTACTCCAACACCAGAAGGTCCTAAACACAAAAAGTCACATACAGAAACCATTAGATGTAGATAAAATATAATTATGTGGTGAAAGTATCATTTCAGCCCTTCTACTGAAGAAACTTGAGAGCAAATGTTTTTAGGGAAATTAAATGACTTCCCTTCTCTCAAATTGGAACAACCCCAGAAAACTCTTGGGAACAAATAAAACAGGTTTTCTTTTTTTAAGATGTGAAGAAGTAACTCACATTTCTTCAACATTCAGAAATGAGATGGGGAACTGCAGGAGCCCATCGCCCCAGCAAAATTCATCTAATGTTGGACCCTGTGAGAATTCTCCGGCCTCATTTCAGATCATCTGAAACAATTTGCCTTTTCTCTTCAAATGAAGTTTCTATCATGTCACAACCCAGAAATCAGGCTCCACGATAATAGGCCCTATGACTTACAGAAATCAGGGGCACATTTCCTGACAGGTGGTTGAATCAACACCCCACGTATAACTGGAGGCAGGGCTGATTTCCTGGACATAGAAGCCTGTGCAGTTACATAGGGCCTATGGTTTAATGTTCTTACTTTACCACATTGATATTCTTAGTAATTTTTTAATGAGGGGCCCTTGCATTTTTATTTTGCCTTGTGACCTGCAAATTTTGTAGTTGATCCAGGCTGTAAACCATGTTGTCCTGTTCTACGGGGACCTGCCTTAATCACAAACGCAGTGCACAGAGGAGATGGCAATAAGACATGGGTTACTACTGCACAGGGACCCGCTTTGTGGAGATCCTGGTCCCAGAGCCAGTCACCCTGGCACTACGTCTCCCTGTTCTTTAGCACCGAAGAGAGAGTCCAGAAGACTACTGACACTTTTCTAAAAGATGTGGTTACGAAATTCTTAGAAACATTGATCTTGAGGATATTTTTTTTTCTAATACAGATGAATGATCCGGTCAGGGAGAACACTCATCAATGCTTATATGACAAATTCTAAAGAGGAAAAAAAATCTGTTATAACCCCATCACAATACAACTTATACAAATTCAAATACACCAGGGCATATCACATTGAATTGTAGACGAAAAAGCATGATACGACGAAGTTTTATTTATGAACACACACGAATAAAACAGGTTTTCTTTTTTTAAGATGTGTTTATATGGCAGTTCATAAAAGAGTTCTGCTTTTACAACTATTCCCAATGCAAGACTATGAAATCGAGAACTTTGCTATCATGAGACGAGACACCGCCCGCCCTGACGTACCCACGAGCACTATGAGGCGGTGCTTGTCTGAAGGGCGTCGCTGGTACCTCATCACCTCCTCATAAGGGGTGCCCACCGCACTGCAGCAGCTGTCGGCGCACCACGCACCGGCGCGCACCTGGCTGAGGTGAGATTTCCTGCGACAAAGGCGCATGCTGCGGCGGAAGCCAGCTGGAGAGGGGGGAATCACACAGAACATAAGATCCGGGGCAAGAGAGATTACATCCCACTTTAAACCTGATGGAGCATGCAGTGACTGAGATTTGAAAGTGTTAGGTAACGAGGTCATGGCTGACAGTAGAAGGTAAGAAGCAATATGAAAGAGAAATAACGAAATGCACCACCGTATGTTACCTCTAAGTGATACTCAGTGCCCACTCTGTGCCAGGCATTGTACCAAGTGCGGGTCATAGAGTGGTCAACTAAACCAAGCCCATTTCCTCATGAAATTTATATTGCATGGAGGAGGAGAGAGAAAAATCCACAATAAAAATAAATGTTTAAAAGAAGGAGCAGCGGCTAGAGAGTTGACAGGATGCTTCTTCAGGTAGCTGGTTCAGTTAAGTGTCTGAAAAGTTGACGTGGAGCAGGTATCTGAATGAAGTCATAGAGCCGGCTAACGAGCATCTGTGGGGAAGAGCAGTCCAGGCTGAGGCAACAGCAACTGCAGAGATGCAGGGAAAGGGTCACGCTTGGAGTGCGTGAAGAAGAGCGCAGAGGTCCGTGTGGCTGCGAGAAGTGAGCGGTAGGGACAGAAAGAGGAAATGGGGTTGGAGAGGAAGCTGGGAGGTCGCACTGGGGCCTCGGGGCCTCCGCTAACTGTTGGATTGTGGTGAAAGTGGGATGGGCAGTCACTGGGCAGTCAAGAGATGGGTGTGACATGATTCGATTTATGTCTCTGAAGAATTCCTCCGATTGCTGTGGGGAGGAGAGTACGTGTAGGCTCAGGTGAGAATAGTGAGGAAGCTACTGCAGTGTCCTAGATGAGGAGGAACAGTGGCTCGGGCCAGGCTTATTACTCACGTTTTCCAGATGGAAACACTAAGACATAGGCAGGTTAGGTGGCTGCTCACCACTATGTGGTAGAGCTGTACATTCTAGTTGTGATTTCCAAACTCCTAGAATCTTGCTTCATCTGCCTCCCAAATGCGGGGATTTCTGGTATTTTTGAAGCTGTCCCCAGATCTTCTCAGTAGATACACCGAGGGACATGTGTATATATAAGACACACATGCACGCATGCACATACACACAAACGAACACGCTTACATCTAAATTTATATTTATCTATGTTGAAAAGCATGAGTTTACACCATTACCCACAATGCCAGTTCAACACTACAGAATTCATTCTAGCCCCGTCCCCTTCCTTCTCTCTCTCTATATAACTCCTTCTCTAACAGTGAGAAAACTGGCTTTTATTATCCTCAATACATTAGTTATTGTATCAACCAAGAATATCAGTGCCGGTGGGGACAAGCATTGTCAGCAGCCTGGCAGAAAGTGTCAGAGCCCAAGCTGGGTGAGGAGGGAGGGCGTCTTTGTAGAGGTCGTGAGGTGTCAGGGCCCAAGTGATGGCAGCTTTCCTCCTCACTTTACTCTGGCTCTGGCAACCTGCGCCAGGCTGCCATCGTCCCTGCAGAGATGCTCTCCTTATCCCTCTCAGGCTCTGATGCCCCGCCCCACGCTGCTTCTTCCCCACCTTTGTGCAGACGCCTTCCCTGTCCAGCCTACTTAGTGGATTCAGAGCTGAATTATTCTGGAATGGATGCAGAAAGGTGGCTCCATGCTTTTAAAGAATTCTACCGCTGATTCCAACGTGCTCTCAGGCCTGGGAACCAACATTCTACTTTACAGACCCTGAAGCCCTGCTGTTCTCCCACTGTCTCCTGGAGGAGGAAACCCAGCCTGGTTTTAAGTGAGTGGTGCCCGGCCCTTCAGAAAGCTCTGCCCAGTTGACAGATTATGAAAATATAGCCATAAAAACTATATGAGAATTGGTCTCTTTAGAGTAAGAGAAATGTGTTATGGAATAATCTGGAAGAAAACAAAAGATCTATGTTTGATGAATAATTAAGAAATGTTCAGTGGAAACCAGATGAATTACAATAAATGATCACTGTATCAGAATATCAATACCCCACCCCCCCCCCAATAATAAAGGGAAACTGGAACAAGGAACAAGTTGGGAAATATCCATCAGCAAAAGAAGCTTTCAGAATAGAGTCAGGCTGGTATGAATATAACTTAGCAAGTTATTAACCATCACCTACCAATAAAGAACTTCTGATCACAGCCTACAAATTCTCCCTTGTCTGGAACACAGAGAATGGCAGGAGCAGAGTATGTGGGAAAGAAGGAAAAGTTTACTTAGAACAGACGACG